GATAGTTTGTCAATGTAAGTAAATATAAATGTGCCAGAAAATTATTCTTATATTTGAACAGAGCAATGAATGTGCTTTTCAGTGATATGTAACAAGATATCTAAAATTTCTTATTAAAGATACATTATGGGAGATTTTTATAGAGAGTTGGTCATTCTTGCTATAACAGTTCAAAAGTAAATGATGAGAGAAGAATATATTGAAAATTTCAGTCAAATTACTTTATTCTGAACATAGTTATCATCGTTGTAATATTTGCCTAGAAATGGTAGTGAAATGTGCCATCACCTTGGTCGATCGTTTGATTGACAGGCGTTAACTCCACCTACATATCTCGATTATCAAGTAAAGTTTTCAATGTCATGCGGAAACGCTCTACAGCGGCCTCGCTAAGTACACTCTATCATTTAGACTCGATCTAACTGACGTATTCTCATCAATGTGCGCCATATTTCAATTTATCAATGAGTGAAATCCTATTTAAATCCGAGCTGTAGCCGAGCCATCCGTGGGTCTACAGAGTTGATTTTGGGCTTGTTGTTTAAATAAAGATCTAATTTATAATTTCTATAACATCTGACGCCTAAATTAAGACTTGCAATAATCAGATTTTGTTCTTGCATAATGTATGTTTAAGACCCGTATTTTTACTTTAAATACCCCCCCCCCCCCTCACCCATCATTCGTCTTTGATCATCTATCAAGGTAAGTAAATATAAATGTGCCAGAAAATTATTCTTATATTTGAAAAAAGAAATGAATGTGCTTTTCGGTGATATGTAACATGATATCAGGAATTTCGTATTAAGACCCTTATTTTTTCTTTAAATACCCCCCACCCATCATTTAATAGATTTTTGTACCGTTCGTATTTGATCACCTCACAAGGCAAGTAAATATAAATGTGCTAGAAAATTATTTATATATTTGAAAAGAGCAGTGTTTTCTACTGATATGTAGCATGATATCAGGAATTTCATATTAAGACCCGTATTTTTGCTTTAAATACCCCCCCCCCCCTCCTTCATTTAATAGATCTTTGTACCGTTTGTCTTTGATCACCACTCAAGGCAAGTAAATATAAATGTGCCAGAAAATAATTTATATATTTGAAAAGAGAAATGAATGTGCTTTTCGGGGATATGTAACATAATATCAGGAATTTCGTATTAAGACCCGTATTTTTAATTTGAATACTCCTACCCCCATCATTCAATAGAGTTTTATTCCACTCGACTTTGATCATCTATCAAGGTAAGTAAATATAAATGTGCCAGCCAATTATTTATTGCTCTCTTCAAATGTATAAATAATTTTCTGACACATTCATATTTACTTACCGTAAAAACGATGAAAGTTGGTTGGCACTAAACTCTATTACTATGATTATGAAGGGGGGTTGGGGTATTCAATGCCACAATACGGGTCTTAGTACGAAATTTCATATAAAATTGTACATATCACTGAAAAGCTTGGTCATTGCCCTTTTCAAATACGTAAATAATTTTCTGGCACAATCGTATTTACTCACCTTAAAAAACGACCAAATTTGATTGGTACTAAACTCTATTACTATGATTATGAAGGGGGGGGGGGGGTGTTCAATGTCAAAGTACGGTTCTTAGTACGAAATTCCAGCCATGATGTTACATATGCCTGAAAAGCTAGTAGATGGCTCTCTTCAAATATGTAAATAATTTTATGGCACATTTATATTTACTTACCTTAATAAACGATCAAAGTTGGGTGGCACTTAACTCTATTACTACGATTATGAAAAAGGGGGGGGGGGTATTCAATGCCAAAATACGTTTCTTAGTACGAAATTCCAGCCATGATGTTACATATCACTGAAAAGCTGTTTTATTTTTCTCTTCAAATATGAATAATTTTCTGGTACATTCATATTTACTTACCTTAAAAAACGATGGAAGTTGGTTGGTACTAAACTCTATTACTATGATAATGGAGGGTGGGGGATATTCAAAAAGTAATAATACGGGTCTTAATACGAAATTCCAGAAATCATGTTACATATCACTGAAATGCACATTCTTTTCTCTTTTCAAATATATGAATTATTTTCTGGCACAATAATATTTACTTACCTTGACAAACTATCAAAGTTGGATAATATTGAACTCTATAAGTAATTTCGAGGGGGGGGGGGGAGGTATTCAATGTCTAATTACGGATGTTAATACGAAATTCCAGATATCATGCTACATATCAGTAGAAAGCACGTTCACTGCTCTTTTCAAATATATAAATAATTTTCTGGCACATCTATATTTACTTGCCTTGAAAAGTGAAAAGGGGGGGGGGGGTGTATTTGAAATAAAAATGCCGGGCTTAATCCAAAATTCCGTAGATCTATACTGAAATGTAAAGTTAATCCTCTCTTGAAATGTATTTATTATATTTTCGGGGGAATGCATATATACTTTTTAAATTAAAATTGATACAAGTTTGGTAGCCTTCACTGGCTGACTTAAAGATAGTGGTGGGGTGGGGCGAGTGTTTAATGTCAAAATACGTGTCTTAATACGAAATTCCAGTTATTGTGTCATACATCACAGGAAAGAAGGTTTATGTGGCTCTTTGAATCTACTTGTTTTTTTCTGGCACATTCATGATTACATACTTTAGAAGAGATAAAAGCATTTTTTATTTTGAGCAAAGAATTGGGTTACTAGAAATAGACTACTTTCAATTCATTTTATTTATCGAAGGTTTGGATTAGCCCATACCGAGCACGTGATTTCACTGAAGTCATGGTCATCCAGCGAATTTGTAAGTGACGGCCAGCTTGATTCGCATCTAGTGAAGGGTGAGTATTCTTAGTGAAGGGTGAGAAAGTGACGGCTGAGTTGATCTCGGCATAAAGGACTTGATGACGATAGCTGAAAAACCGGTTTTCCCTTTTCCATAAATAGATAGTGTACGTGTCACACGTCAGGCGTTTCAATGTATGAAATGAAATCGATTTAGCAATTGTTCTATTAATTAATTATATTGTCTACAGCTGCCATCGACGTCTGTATGAAACAGGGCATGAATTCTCTTTGTATAACAGCTGATACCACTTCTCTATGAAGCTCACATAAAACTGACAACAGGTTTTGTGTATTGATATCATATCAATATGATTTGACTAATCAATCTGTGTTAGTAATCGATTCGAATGTGTAAGTTCTAAACCGTGTCCGAAACGCTTCGCAGTATATCGATATACCTATATTGTTTCACGTATCTACAGCTTTTGATTATAAGAACTCACCTATTTACTTGAACAATCTTGTAGTTGTTTGGTGAATCTAACTTGGCCTGCTTTAATGGCGATTTCTTCCGACTTTCTGTTTATACAAGGGAGGTAAATCCATTGTAATGCTCGCGGGAGAAGACCACTATGTTGCCCATTGACGCCAGTCATTTTAAAAAAAAAACCCAAAAAACAACATTCCGATGATTTTAATCTACACAGAGCTCAGAATTAATGAAGGCGTTATGGGGATTTTAAATTTTTCTAGACCTGGTCAAAGGAATCTACAGAGTGTGACATCCTTCAGTCTTAAAACCTGACAGAAATTAAATGTTAAATCAAATTGTCAGATATCCTCTCACAGTCAACTTTTGGTCTTTGAAGCAATTGTCAGATATCCTCTCACAATCTCATAGAACAACTTTTGGTCTTCGAAGGAATTATCAGTGACAATAAATTCGCCTGTGTATCTGTTTATCGCTCGTTACTTCAGTCAGTTATATAGAAGGATAACTCCTGTGTTTTCCTTTTGCTTTCGTCACTTCCATTTCTTCAAACCTTTGTTACACATCTTTCAAAGTAATGATCTGTGCATAATTAGACAGGTTTCATTTTCATTTGATGTCATAAACTATTTTTTAGATAGCAGTAAAATATAGTTTTACATGTTTCTAAACTATTTGAAAATAACCTAAAAATAATGACCAGTTCATGTTTGCATCACAATAACCCAGTTCTCTTGCTCTGACAGGGTGGTTGGATGGCTGCATCATAAAGTCTGTCATTGAGTCAACTGGTGTGGTTTCAATTCCCCGATTGTACGTTACAAGGACTAGGGTCGCCTGTCCAACCTCGTGGGTTTTCTCTGGGTCCTCTGGTTTCCTCCCACTGCTAAAGACACCCTACGTACGTGCAAGCGAATTATGGAAATAAAATTGAACCCTATGTTAGTCCTGAAATGACCTAGTTTGTGTTGAGGGGACGTTAAACCCCATTTCTCTCTCTTTTCCTCTGACAGAGTTGATTTGGACGGACTAATAGAGCAGGGCTATCTTCCTGTGTGATTGGCACCTCCTGGGTTCATCATTTTAATTGAATGATTGGTTGGGTAATGTTTTGGGGTCTAAGACATTTTATGTATTCTGTAGGCTTAGACATATATTTAAATAAGGAATATTTTACCAGAAAAGTTAGAAATTTTAAATTCAACATGGACCAGGAAATAGCATTCATGACGTCAACGCAGCCATCTTGGAATTGTGACGTCATATCTAAAATGGAAGGCTGTTAAAGGAACAAGCATGCCAAGTTTCATTTCGAACTGAATTGCCCGACCCTTAGTCCTTTTTTCAAATATGTCACCCAACAACATCAACAAGATAAAAAGCGGTTGGGTACCAACTGCGAGTCCACAACTAAACACGGTACAAATGAGTACATTAAAACTAAACATGGTACAAATGAGTACATTAAAAATAAACATGGTACAAATGAGTACATTAAAAATAAACATGGTACAAATGAGTACATTAAAAAGAGAGAGAGAAATGTGGTTTAACGTCCACTCGACACAAACTAGGTCATTTCGGGACTAACATATGGTATTAATTTTATTTCAACAACTCGCTTGCGCGTAGGGGTCTTTAGCAGTGGGAGGAAACCGGAGGACCCGGAGAAAACCGACGAGTACATTAAAAATAAACTGGTGCAAATGTAAATTAATAAATAACACTGAATAACCAAAAACACAAATCGGTTTATTTTAATAGATATGGTTATTTTGTATCAAACAGCACACTTAAATAGCAAATATATGTGGTACAATTACCATAAATAGCAAATATATGTGGTACAATTACCATAAATAGCAAATATATGTGGTAACATTACCAAAAAATAGCAAATATATGTAGTAACATTACCATAAACAGCGAATATATGTAGTAACATTACTACAAATAGCAAGTATATGTTGTAATATTACCATAATGGTTGTTTTTATGACACTTAAGATATTCTACTATTGTTTTATTTATACATTACTATAATGGTTATTTTGACAATAGACAGGTTCAGATGCGTTCCGGGAAGATGTGATGCACTTTTGCACGGTTCAGAAAAACCTGCATTCTTGACAAAACGCGATGGTCAGTACAACGTGAATAGAGCAAAAAGTGCACTGTTTGAAAGTGTCGCTTCATTCTATCATTTTGCTTTTATTCGACCAGCCAAACAGTGCCTAACAAACTCTGGTACATGTATATTTGAAAACGATGTGTTCCGGTATAATTACGAAAAAGATTGTCTAAAATAGAATTAAATCACCAGGAAATTCACTTACAACTTCAGAGGTTCCAAGATGTTTTCACGGGCCAATTCGTCTGCCGCTGTGGGGGAAGACCTTGAGAACTGATGACATAGCATGCAAAAATGGAATCACCTCATTCTCGTTCTTGACCACGGAGTGAATCTGAACCTCTCTAATAAGGACAGAAAGTCTGCAATTGTTCTACTTGATTATCCAGATATTCCTAAAGGTAGACTGTTTATATACTTCTGTAATTGTTCAACTTGATTATCCAGACATTCCTAAAGGTAAACTGTTTATATACTGCTATAATTGTTGTTTTGATAATAAGGAGAGAAATTCTACAATTGTTCTAGTTGGTCGCCCCGACATTCCTTTAGGTAAATATGGTACTTCATCTTTATTGATCATGACACCCGCTATATCCAGATGTAGCCAATTTTTGTTCTCTACAAATTCCTGAAATGAAACAGAAACAGTGATGTAACTGGGGGCCCCGAGCTCTCATTCAAAATCTGTCAGGCATTCCATTATTGTATCCTAGATTATTCTCACTTCAAAATCTGCATCACCTTATCCTAGATGTTTACCTCGGGTGGAGCCCTGAGATGCTCCTTTTAGGAGTTTCTTGGAACCGAAAGTAGTATACTACAAGGTTCCCTTAAAAATGATAACACCAGCACTGGCTTTTACAATACTCAATGATAGCATACATGTATTTATCATCAATGATCTTTCTCATCATTTGATAACAAAGAACTCACTGACACCCAAAAAATCCACAAGGTTGGACAGGCGACCATGCTCCTTGTCCTGTACAACTGGGGAATTGAAACCACACCAGGTGACTCAATGACAGACCCTATCATACAACGCGCATGTGCTAACCATTCGGCCATGCCCCCGCCCCATTTAATGGGAAGCAAATTACCAATACAATTATGGGAGGTATATTCAGAAGTATTTACTGCAGTCCCTTTGTAAGGGATTCAATTTGATCTTTTTTTAAAGGATTCACTATATTTACCATTATGGGAGAGCTATTTAAAGGGATATTATACTGTGTTGTATTTACCATCATTTGAGAGCTATTTAAAAGGGATTTACTGTGTTGTATTTACCATTATGGGAGACCTATTTAAAGGGATATTATACTGTGGTGTATTTACCATTTTTGGAGAGCTATTTAAAAGGGATTTACTGTGTTGTATTTTCCATTATGGGAGGCCTATTTAAAAGGGATTTACTGTGGTGTATTTACCATTATGGGAGACCTATTTAAAAGGGATTTACTGTGATGTATTTACCATTATGGGAGACCTATTTAAAGGGATTTACTGTGGTGTATTTACCATTATGGGAGACCTATTTAAAGGGATATACTGTGGTGTATTTACCATTATTGGAGAGATATTTAAAGGGATTTACTGTGGTGTATTTACCATTATTGGAGAGCTATTTAAAAGGGATTTACTGTGTTGTATTTACCATTATGGGAGGCCTCTTTGTAAAGGAGTTACTATATTTACTGTTATGGATGGTCTATTCAAGAGGCTTTATTGTTGTCTTTTTGTAAGGATTTAAATGTATATTTACCCTTTTGTGAGGTATATTCAAAAGTATTTACTGCTGTCTCTTTGTAAAGGATTTGCTGTATTTACCTTTATTGTGGTCTCTTTGTAATGGATTTAAATGTATATTTACCTTTAGAAATGCTGCAGCTGTACATGATCCACCTGATCGACTATATTTACCAATATTATTAACATCAGCTAAATCACAGTGTTTTATTTGTGACGTATAATGTTTCAATAACGGCATCCTCCATACTCGATCACCACTAATACCGCCAGCCTGTGGATATAAAATGAAATGGGATTTACAGTGCCATACAGTGTGCTATGCACAAACTTTTGTCTAGGCAGAGGCAATTCCTTGAATTTCAAGTGTCAAGGGTTTCTCTTACGTGCACGCCAAGAGGACCTTGGTTTTTTGAATTGTGTCTGAATGACTAGACACAATTCCTGGTCACTGAGCCACCGTAGCTCAAAGGCCTAGAAGCAGTGTTTCTTTTTTTTACAAAAGGCTGGATTACTAGAAAAGTGGATGCCTATATACTGTAAAGTCCAGTTGCATATTACCTGATGCAAAGTCTTCCACATTTGTGTAGAATCTGTATATACAGCGGTAACAGCTGATCCTAATGCTACATCAGCAGCCCCTAAAATATAATACAAGTATATCAACAGCCTCTAAATTATAATACAAAACTTAAAAACAAGCCCTAAAATAAAATATAAAACTTAAGAACAGCCCCTAAAATATAATACAAAGCTTAAGAACAGCCCTTAAAATATAGCACAATTTATCAACAGCTCTTAATATATAATGCAAAAATTTAAGAATAGCCCTTAAAGTATATCAACAGACACTAAAGTAAAATACACAAAAATTGTAAAAATCCCCTTAAATATAATACAAAAACTAAGAACAGGCCTTAATTTCAAAACTTAAGAACAGCCACAAAACATATGAACAGACTCCTAAAATATAATACAGAATATCAACAGCCGCTAAATTATAGTACAAGTAATCTGCATCAATGCCTTATAAACCACCCACTGACTTCACCATAATTAGCAAATAAATTGTTGTTGAAGTTAACCAAAACTGAATTCCATATCCATTTGTTAATAACCACAATACACCACCCACACATCTCATAATTGTCATTAAATAAACTCACATCAATTCGTCAATAACCATAAAAAAAATACCCACAGATTTCATTGTTATCATGAAATGAATTATTGTTGAAATTAAAGATATATTATGTAACATTTAGATAAAGAGCTAGCCATTCTTGGTATAATAGTTCGAAAATAGATAATGTAAAATGAATAATTTAAAAATTTCATCGAAATTACTCTATTGTGAGCGAAGATATTAGACTTTGAAGGTTTGAAAGGACGTGTGCAATAATTTCAACCGCCGTACTAGTTGTTTGAAGCTAAGTCTCGCTCCTCCATTTTCAAATTAAATTAAAATATGGCTGAACCATTCGAATCTATTAAATATATCGGAGAAATCCGATTACATCGAGAGTTGATTATGGCCTGGATAAGTTAATTAATGTCTAATTAATAATTTAGATACCATTTCAGGCCTAAAGGAAGACCTGCAACAGGCAGATTTAGCTCTTGCATAATGTATGTTTAACCGATCTCAGATTTAGCCTACACTCACCTGTTAAAGTTGCCATATCTAATATTAAACTTGGTTTAAACGTATCTGCGTAAGTTAAGGCATCAGCTAAAATTAGTCTTCCTTCAGCATCGGTATTATCTATCTGAGTAAATAAAACACTCAATTAATGTTAGTTGTTGAAACAGGGGGATGGGGGGAACAGGGGGGTGGGGGGATGAGGGAGAGAGACAGATCATTATTAACTAACAGCTATGGAAATGAAATGAATTTAGGTTTAATCTTTTATCTTTTGCACAGTCCTTCTAAATGAAGAAATGAAATGAAATGAAATGGGGTTTAACGTCCTACTGTTCTGCTCCTAACCTGGGCTAATGAAGACGGGCATACGCCATACAGTGTGCTATGAGGGAAATTTTGCCCGGACAGCGGCACTACGGCCTACTCTTATATCGAATTCCAACTGCCAAGGGATCTTTTACGTGCACGCCAATGTGTACACGGGACCTCGGTTTTTCGTCCCATTTCTAAATGAAGACAGGTGTATGCCACACAGTGTGCTATGATGGAAATTTAGCCCGTACAGCGGTGTTATGGCCTACTCTTTTTTCAAATTGCAACTGTCAAGGGTTCTTTTATGTGCACGCAAATGTGTACACAGGACCTCAGTGTTTCGTCCCATCAGCACTACAAGATACTGCCCTAGACAGGCACTGACAACAGGGAAGCCATGCCTAAAACATCTCTGGACCTTCCTCATTCTCATCCAAAACCGAGGAGCCCTCCTAGAACGAGCGAGCAACTTACTAACTGACTCCCTGCGGCTAAAGTGAAACTCTCACCTGTATAGTTTTTCCATTCATTGCCGTGACAACATCACCTGGTTTTGTTGCGCGTCCATTGACCATGTTCTCACATAAAGGTATAAATGCTGTAACACATGATGTAATATTACTATGGGGGAAAATGGCACATCAGTGGTTTTACTGTCAAAATGCAAAAACATAAAGGTATGTGTACAGGGAGGAAAAAGCACAACAGTGGTATTAATACAGTCAATATGGTACTAACATATTACTAGGGAGGAAAACAGCACATCAGTGGTATTTTAATACAGTCAATATGGTACTAACATAGAGGTGTAATGTTACTAGGGAGGAAAACAGCACAGCAGTAGTATTAATACAGTCAATATGGTACTAATATAAAGATACTGGGTAAAAACACTGTAATATTACTACCAGGGAGGGAAACGGCACAGCAGTGGTATTACTACAGTCATTATATATATGGTTCTAATTATATAGATGTATAAACTATAAACACTGTGTGTAATATTAGTAGGGAGGGGAACGGCACAGCAGTGGTATTACTACAGTCATTATATATATGGTTCTAATTATATAGATGTATAAACTATAAACACTGTGTGTAATATTAGTAGGGAGGGGAACGGCACAGCAGTGACATTAATACAGTCTAAATGGTAGTGACATAGAGGTGTAATATTACTAGGGAGGAAAACAGCACAGCAGTGGCATTAATACAGTCAATATGGTACTAACATAGAGGTGTAATATACTATTCAAAAAAAGTAGGGGATATTTGATTTTGGGGGCATAATACTAAAATATGCAAATGACTACGAAAAAAATCACTATAGAACCTAACAGAAGAAACATTTCCAGTTACATGTGACGCCCAAACGCACCAATAGCTACCGCATGGAATGCAGGTGATGCTTGGGATCATCATGGGGGTCCAACCCAAGATTTGCACGACTCTGACTTTGAATGTTACAGTCATTGTGGCATTGAATTCCAGGGTGGAAACATCAGTTTAATTGTTTTAGTGACCTGAAAACAAATTTTGATATGCGTCGGCTTACCCAAAATGAAAGGTTACATGCCCTTGGCATGCTACAGATCGGCACAACACAGGCGATGAATGTTTCTCAGTCTGTCATAAGCAGGCTATGGTCCAGATACCGTGATACACAATCTGTACAGGACAGACCACGCTCAGGTCGACCAAGGGCGACAACTCAAGCCCAGGATCGATTTATCCGTACCTTGGCCTTGAGAAATCGTGTCATCACAGCAAATCAGATCAGCGCTCGTCTTCAAACAGACACTGGTGTGAGAGTGAGTGGCCAGACGATTCGGAATCGACTGCATAGGGGTCACCTTTGCGCCCGACGTCCTCGCGTGATCCCTTGTTTGAGAGATCATCACATTCAAGCAAGACGTCGTTGGTGTAGGGATCGTCAACACTGGGATAATCGACGCTGGAGCAATGTGATGTTTTCAGATGAGTCAAGGTTCACTGTTGATTTTTTGGACAGACGTAGGAGGGTGTGGCGTCGTCGAAACGAGCGCTTTGAAGACGTTAACGTCATCAGACATGATCGATTTGGGGGTGGTTCTGTTATGGTGTGGGGATGCATCACTGTTGCTGGAAGAACGGCTTTACATGTTGTTGCAGGGCGTGTTACAGGCCAGTACTACCGGGACAACATCTTGGCAGTCCATGTTGTGCCGTTCGCACGACGTCATGGCCGCCGTTTCATCTTCCAGGATGACAACGCAAGATGTCACAGGGCCAGGATCGTTACAGGTTACCTCCAACAACAGAACATCACCACATTACCTTGGCCAGCACTGAGTCCCGACCTCTCCCCCATCGAGCATGTCTGGGACATGCTTGGACAGAGGTTACGTCAACGTCAACAACGTCCTGCCAATGTCCAAGAACTTGCTGCTGCGTTGCAACAGGAATGGGACAATCTGGACCAAAATGACCTTAGACGTCTCATTAGGAGTATGCCACGTCGGATCAATGCTTGTTTGGCAAACAGAGGAGGATTTACCCATTACTGACTTGGTTGTGATGCTGTGGTAACTTTGCTGTTTGACCCCGGGTATCATTTTACCCTTATAATGGTCAGTCTGTGCCTTACTTAGTCTAATGATCATTTGGAATAAATCGATGAATGTGAACTTCATTTCATTTTGTCATTTGTTTCTTCGTCAGTTTCATTAGGTGACTTTAATAACACTTAAAAATCAAATATCCCCTACTTTTTTTGAATAGTATATTACTAGGAAGGAAAACAGCACAACAGTAGTATTAATACAGTCAATATGGTACTAATATAAAGATACTGGGTAAAAACACTTGTGCTTATATATATATCGGCACACTACGATAGAGTTAATCAAACAAGTTTATTATCCATGAACAGTGCGGCAATGTACATCATCACAATCATGACATCAACATTACATCAATACTGGCAAGACATCGTCAAATGACATCAACATGGACCGATATAAACATCATGACATCGTGACATCGTGACATCGTGACATCGGTTGTGATTAGTTTAGGAACTATCGATGTATACAATTATAATACATATCAAAAGATTCAACCGCTACCTAGCGATCCATATCAAAACAAAGTCAAATTCTGCCTCGAACTGTCAACCGCATGGCCATCTTTTTTCCCAGCGGAAACCGTGTCCTAGCAACCAAACGTAGACTTGCACAGCCCAGGCTCTAATTAAAGGATGAGGTAACCTTACACGGGATTCATAATAATAATAATAATGCCCATATTTGAAAGTAAAAAGGTAGCCACACCAGCCCCTACATAAAAGCTATAACAAGACTTTTATGTACAAAATTAAACAAATGGCTACCGTAACAATACAACAGGTCAATTAAACAAACATTTCTAATTACCATATATATAGAGATAAAACAAACATAAGCCAATCAGTCTGTGTGTAATTCTAAAAGACAAATTTTAGTAATTGGGCGAGTTAAATTAATGGAACCATCTTTAAATTCGCTGGCCCTGGAACGTTTGGCGCTTGTCGCAACGGATGACGAAGTATTCACTTTAACTGTTCTAACCAATCCATCGTCCGAGGTAATCACATCAACGACCCGAGCAAGTGGCCATTGTCCTCTCGGATAGTTATCGTCGGCCAAAAGTACAATATCATCGATTCTGACATTTTTATGCTTTAAAGTCCATTTGGTTCTTTCTTGTAGCGTGGGAATATATTCCTGCACCCAACGCTTCCAAAATACATCTGTTAAATACTGAGCTTGACGCCACTTTCTTCTAAGGTACAAGTCTTTTTGATCAAACACTCCAGGTGGTAAAGTAGAACTTGACCTAAGGTGTAGAAGATGGTTTGGTGTTAACGGTGATTCGTCCAATACATCATCGCTTACCCTTGTAAGTGGTCGACTATTAATAATCAATACAGCTTCTGATACAACAGTTAACAAAATCTCATCACAGACAAGCTGTTCTTTTAACACTGATTTAAGTACCTGCCTAATTGAACGGATCATCCGTTCCCATATGCCTCCCATATGACTGGCTGCTGGTGGGTTAAAACGCCAGCGGATACTTTTATGGACACAAAAGTTTGAAATTCTTGACTGGTTGAATTCATTGATACAGTCCCTTAGTTCTTTCTCAGCGGAAACAAAATTAGAACCATTATCACTAAAGATTTCTTCAGGACAACCTCTTAAGCAAATGAACCGCCTTAAACAATTGATGAATGAGTCCGTATTTAAAGAATGCGCAATTTCCACATGGACTGCCCTGGATGCCATACAGGTAAACAAACAACCATATCTCTTTACAATACTTCTACCCTGCTTTACAGACAATGGTCCAAAATAATCGATTCCTACACAAGAGAAAGGGGGTTTATCTGGTGTCAAACGCTGTTTAGGCAAATTCCCCATAAACTGTTCCTCACAACGTTTGGATCTCTTCTGACAATCAACACATTTCCGTAAAACCCTACGGACAGCAGATCTCCCTTTGACGATCCAATATTTACGCCTCAAGAAAGACAAAACCGATTCCTGACCTAAATGACAGACTTCCAAATGATGTGAATTAATAACCAAATCTGTAACATGGTGTTTATACGGAAGGATAACTGGGTGTTTTACATCTTCACCTACAGGTCCTTTATCTAATCTTCCTCCAACCTTCAGTAATCCATCTAAAAGTTGTGGATTTAGCTTTCGGAGTGATGAATCAATCTTCGAAGGGTTAGAACTCTCGCTAACATGACGTAGGGCCTTTAAGCTGTCGGGAAACACCCTCCGTTGAACAAACTTGATAACCTCTGACTCGGCTTCTTTGATCTCTCCAACCGTTAAAAACCTCTCAAAGTTATTAGGACACCCCTGTCCTAAAACCTTTAACTTTAAATATCTTTTAAACCTTAAGATCCAGGCAACTCCTCTCTTCAATCTCCACCAGGAGGAATACCTCAAAATCAAATCATCAATAACATCCTTGTCAACTGACGCAACATAAATTTTTGCTTCTTTCCGAACTTCAGGGTCGTCATCCTTCAATTCTGTAATAACAATGGGTGAAGGCCAATCACTTTCATTCCCCCTCAAGAATTCTGGACCACTAATCCATCTATTGTCCTTCACCATGGTCTTTAACTTTAACCCCTTGGAACCGTCATCAGCAGGATTGAAATCCCGATTTACATAACGCCATTCTGAAATCTTAGATCCAAGATGAATTACTGTTAATCTATTCGATTCAAACGTATGGAACCTTTTACTATCATTATTAATACACTTTAAAACTGACAACGAATCTGTCCAAAATACAGTCTTCTCTATAACAAACTCCAATTCTTCCTGTATAACTCTTCTCATCTTCACGGCAACAACCGCAGCCGATAATTCCAGCCTTGGAATAGACACCTCACGAATAGGAGCCAACCTGCATTTCCCAAATACAAAAGAACAATGAACCTCTCCACTGGAATTTATGAATCTCAAATATGCAACAGCAGAATAACCAACTCTAGAACCATCGCAAAATATATGTAACTGGACCTCTCCAATAACACCAAATACCTTAGGTTTCAAACACCTATCAACCTTAATTTCAGACAACCTATCTAAATCCTCTAACCATCTGTACCATTGAAGCTTATCTTCCAAAGAAACAGGATCATCCCAACCTAGATTTCTCCTACTCAACATTTGTAACAACAACTTCGCCTTCATAATGTATGGAGCGATAAACCCAATGGGATCAAATAATGAATAAACAATTGACAAAATACTTCTTCTTGTTGTAACCTTCTCAAACGAATACAACAACTTCTCATTGACCTCCCATGAAAAGACATCTGATTCGGTATCCCATCTCAATCCCAAAGCACTCTGAGTGGGCAAAAGGTTATCCAAATCAACAATAGACTTGGCTCTATCTTTTTCTGGAACGTTCTCCAAAAACTTGCGATCGTTACAACACCACTTAGTCAACCTAAAACCACAAGTAAATAACAACTTTGACAACTCGTGGAACAATTTAACTGATAAATTTAAAGAATCAACTGACTTCATCAGGTCATCTACATACATATTCTTCATAATGGTCTTCACAGTTTCAGGATCGAAGTCGCCACCGTAAAGCTCAGCACATTTCTTGACACAGTAGTTAGCAACAGCAGGTGAAGATGTGGCGCCAAATATGTGTTTGGTCATCCGATAATCTTCCACAACGTCATTAATGTCGTCATTCCTCCACCATAGGAATCGCAATACATCACAATCCTTTGGTTCAACTCTAACTTGGTGAAAATGAGCCTCAATATCAGCTATAAACCCAATCTCTCCCTGTCTGAACCGAAATAAGACTCCTAACAAGTGATTAGCTAAGTCTGGGCCTTGTAATAACTGACTGTTAAGCGATGTTCCATGGTATTGAGCTGCACAGTCGAAGACTACTCTAACTTTATCTGGCTTTAATGGATGGGTTACTGGATGGTGTGGTAAATACCAAATGGGTCTTTCATTTAAATCAATTTCCACCTCTGGAATCTTCTCAGCATGGCCCTTAGAAATATAATCATTAATTGTGGTCTGGTACTTAAAGAACAGATCAGGATTCCTTCTAAACCTCTTAGATAATCCATCTAATCTGTTCAAAGCCATAGCTCTATTATTAATTAGATTAGGAGGAATTCTCTTCCATGGTAATGGAATTTGAAAATGACCATCAACAATCTTTAATCCATCCTCAATAATACATAAAGCCTTTTTATCTTCAATTGAATAACCTGGTTTATTTTCAACTTCTAGATCTTTGAAATCTGTATTCCACAATCTCTGCAACTGTTCCTTCAGATCATCTTTAACTTCAGTTTCTTCATGACTAATAACAGAGCTAACAAAATTAAAACAAAACTCATTAAAATCTCGTGGCTGATCAACTGACCCAATAACAATCCAGCCTAACCTATACCTAATAGCAACTGGTTCATTTTCTCCACCTTCTCTGTAATCTAAAGGGATAAAAAGTTTTGGCCGTTCTTTAACACCAATAATAACAGTTACCTCATGAAACTGCACTTCAGGACAGTCAATATCTTTCAAATGTAAGTATTTCTGTAAATCTTCCATCCTTGGAATTGTAGTGGTGGGAATTGGTAATGATGGTACAGTTCTAACATCACTGAAATCAACCGATGTATCTCCATCTGAAGACTTGATGACTATATCGACTAATTCACTTTCAACTTCCTTAGATCCTGTAACACCTGTGACAGTAAATGGATCAATCTCACCACCAATATCAAGATGAGCAGCAAGTTTCTTTAAGACTAAAGTGATTTCGGATCCAGTATCCAGCAAAGCATAAGAAGTGACTTCTTTCTTGGTGATTTTATTCTGAACAATAACTGGAACAACTCCAAGACAAACCTTCCTTTCACCAGCCCCAGCAGCAGCAGTAACAACACTGGAGGTCTTCTTGGAATCTTCTATCTTCTCAATGGAACTGGATTGGCTCAAATTAAACAAATTAACATCATGCAACAAAGTATTGTGATCCCTTTCACAATTAGGAATCCGACATCTGAATCCAGACTTATCACAAAATTTAATCGAATGTCCTTTATTTAAACACTTAAAACATAACTGGAGGTCACCAACAACTTTACCTTTACCTCTATTGTCAAGATCTATAAACTGACTGCACTTCCAAATAGGATGCCTACCTGCACAGTAAATACATGGTGATCTAAAATTTCCAGCACCGGATCTTAAAATGTTGGGACGACTTGAATTCATCTTACAAGCTGCATTCGAACTCGTTGTAGCCATAAGAGTTGCCATCGGTCTGGGTTTTCTAAAATACGAACTATCAAATTTCTTCTCTCTGGAACTATTCGACAAGTCTTCCCCAAACTCGTTGTTAACTAATACTGCTCGTTCTTTAACAAAATGTAAAAAGTCTATAAACCTTGGTCTGGAACCATTTTCAAGGATTCTACCAGCCCTTTCCGTCCACTTAGCCCTCAAAAACATAGGTAATTTAGAATTCAAGTCCCTCAGTGTGTTCATGTGATCTAAATCATTCATGTAGTCTCTTCCCATACCAGATAGTGTTCTATTAGTAATCTCCAAGTTACGAACAAATTCCATCAGGAAAGTACTATTTGCGGTCTTGATAACAGGTAAGTTCTCTAACTTAGTCATATAGGCTTTTGCAATAACATGAGGTTTACCAAAATTCTCACGCAAAGTTCGTTTAGCTGTTTCAAATCCTGTCTCTACAGGTAAATTTACACAACATTCTATGGACTCCCTGGCCTTTCCACTACAGTGCTGAATTAAAAGTTGTAATTTACGTGATTCCTCTGGGTTATTAGTCTCTAACAGAGTCTCAAAGTTGTGCATAAAAGAAATAAACTTTAAAGGATCACCATTAAATGTCATATATTCCAACTTTGGAGTCGAAACCACCTGACACAGTTTTTGTACTAAGTCATTTGTTGTATTTTGTGTGTTATCACAAACATCACTTCTAAAAACAGAAACATTATTCTGAGGGTAAGTATGCACATTATTCTGCCTATCAGTATTTACATGATAAATTAAATTAGAACTTGGACTAGAGTGTGGGGGAACAACATGACTGATTGGCACATTACTACTATAAGATATGGAAGTATTTGTGAATGTAGGCCTACCATCAATGGTACAAGTAGGTATAAAATTATAATTTGTCGAATTACATGCAGACATATTACAATTTGCATCATAATATGGAATGGATGACATATTATTTGATGAAAAAGACAAATTATTAGATATAGGTAAGTAATTAGCAGAATTATTAAATGGCAGTGACATGGAAGAAACGGTACTAACCGATATGTTATTATCATCTGTTCGAGGTAAGGCATGATTATTAACAGATAAACTCACTCTATTAGTATCAGGTTGCACAATAGATTCCCTAGCAGTAATTACAGATTTATACTGTGGTAAAGTATTAGTAGTATTACAGTACATAGACCTACCTACACTTTGTTGATAAGATGAATAAGCATTATTAATTGACATGGGCAAGCTTACAATAGAATAATCATGATCTACATGAGTTACATTAGGTATAACATTTGATAATGCAGGATTGTGCTCAACAGGTAAATTATTACAATTTGATTTAACAATTAAATTTGGAGATTCAAATAAATTGACAGGTCCTTCTATATCAATAACCACAGAGTCTCTACGACCATGAAGCAAATTTCGATTTACACATGGTGTAAAACAATTTATGTCATCACTGGTGAAAGTTTTTTCTGGCGAATCTAAAGTAAACTCAAATTTATAATTATCAGGCCTAGGGGATAGTAATGTTCGATCACGATAAACATCAGATTTCCTGTCTTCATTTTCATTTTCAGCCTTTTCATTATCAGCCTTTTCATAAAGTTCTAAACTAATTTGTGCTTGTTGTTCTTCAAATTCAATATCTAATAATTCTTCTTCGGCTTTTAACCTGGTTAATCTTTCTGACATTTCCATTTTTTGTTTAATATGTTGCCTTTTCGAACGTGCAAGAGCCAACTTTTCTTTATGTTGTAAAATTTTAAGACTGACTTGCGAACCAAACGAACTATCGCCGTCAGAATGAGAAATGTCACATTGTTTATCTTCTTCAGACATGATGACAGTTTACCATAAAACTAAAAACTTGAACAATCGACAGCTTGCATAATCACAACTTCAATGTGCTTATATATATATCGGCACACTACGATAGAGTTAATCAAACAAGTTTATTATCCATGAACAGTGCGGCAATGTACATCATCACAATCATGACATCAACATTACATCAATACTGGCAAGACATCGTCAAATGACATCAACATGGACCGATATAAACATCATGACATCGTGACATCGTGACATCGGTTGTGATTAGTTTAGGAACTATCGATGTATACAATTATAATACATATCAAAAGATTCAACCGCTACCTAGCGATCCATATCAAAACAAAGTCAAATTCTGCCTCGAACTGTCAACCGCATGGCCATCTTTTTTCCCAGCGGAAACCGTGTCCTAGCAACCAAACGTAGACTTGCACAGCCCAGGCTCTAATTAAAGGATGAGGTAACCTTACACGGGATTCATAATAATAATAATAATGCCCATATTTGAAAGTAAAAAGGTAGCCACAACACTGTTATATTATTACCAGGGAGGGAAACGGCACAGCAGTGGTATTACTACAGTCATTATATGATACTAATTATATAGATGTATAAACTATAAACACTGTGTGTAATATTAGTAGGGGAGGGGGGGGGGGGGAAAACGGTACAGCAGTGGTATTATTACTAGCAATATGGTAGTGTGTAATGTGAATGAAACCATGCCAGGTGAAAATCTACTGTGGATATTTTTTTTTTCTTTTCTTTAATCTAAATTAAATGTTATTTAATCAATTTGAGAACATTTTAGCCTTGAAAAAGTGGATGAAATTACCTTTGATATTGAGAGGTAGTTTGAGTTTAGTAGCTGCAAGTAGTGTACCAGCCACACATGCTGCCCCGCCCATATCAGCCCTCATTTTATCCATATCAGTTGATGGTTTAATAGACACACCTCCGGTATCAAATGTCACACCTTTACCAACCAAAGCTAAAGGTGTAGAACCATTAGGGCCTCCATTGTAATCAATTTCTAGAAACACAGGTGGTTCATCAGAGCCACGAGAAACAGAGAGAAATGCATCCATCTTTTTTGATTCTGCCCAGGCTTTATCCCTGCAAAACGAATGAAGTCGCAACAAGTCAGATCCTTTACATAGTGACAGCGAGAGACAGAGAGTGTGCAACAGACAAGGAAATATAGACTAGAATATTAGTCGCTTGTCTATTGGCTGAAAGTTACGACTACTCATGGAGAACAGCAGAAATCTACCTGTGGCAGGTAACATTGACATTCGGGATCCTGTTATACTTATGGAAAGGATAATATGTTGAGATAATTTCTTGCATTATCTAAAATGTTTATGAACCTTTCCGGTGACCTTTAATGTCCATTTGACACAAACTAGGTCATTTGGAGACTAACATAGGGTTCAATTTTATTTCAGTAATTCGCTTGCACGTGGGTGTCTCTCGTAGAGGTGGAAACCTGAGAATTCAGACCCTACTCCTTGTCACGTACAAGCAGGGAATCAAACCACGGCAGTTGACTCAATGACAAACCAGGGCCCTTATTCACGAAAACTTAAACTAAGATAAAATCGAAATTTTAAGAAATACTGCAATTCGATTGGCTGACCAGTAAAATCAATTTGCATATATCCAATAAAGTTGCAGTATTTCTTAAAATTTCGAATTTTATCTTAGTTTAAGTTTTCGAGAATAGGGGCCCTGTGCACAATTTAAACCTATAGCCTAACCCCATGTCACCTAGATCTGAATTTTTATGATAATGTTTTAAAAGACAAAAGGTGGGTTTGTTTTGTGTGTTCAAGGCTGCTTATTGAATAGACATGCATGAACAGATACCACACAAAATCTGGGTCTTCCTCTGTAATGCCATAAACAACTTACCTTATTTGTACAGTGACACCATTTTCTGAACCCAGCCTCTCTTTCACACTTTCAGCAAAAATAGTAGGTGTCATTTTATTGGCTGGTGTCTCCATCAGCCATCTTGCAAAATTCTGTGAATTTGCTAGAATACAACCTTGTGACCAATCGTGGTTTAAAGTAGTTCTGAAATGAAATAAAATAAAATGGGGTTTAACATCCTACTGTTCTGCTTAGACTGGGCTACATATGCCTTACAGTGTGCTGTGAAAGAAATTTTGCCACAACAGCGGTGCTAAGGCCTACTCTTATATCGAATTCCAACTGCTAAGCGATCTTTTATGTGCACGGCACTGTGTACATGTGAACTCAGTTTTTCGCAGCATTCAAAGGCCTACATGTTGTCCATTGCTAGACACTCTGTAGTTCTGAATGGTTCTTGTATTCTGTGCATGTTATAATGGAGAGATGTGTAACAGGAAGTGATCTAATCTTCAAGAATTTCAATATCTGCAATGTTGCTATTTACTAATTTTCTGTCTAATTCAGAATAATGACTTGTTCATCATAGGTTGCCATTTAACCCAGAAATAGGGTCCATGCTATTAGTGTGACTGAAAATCATAGGTTTACATTTAACCCAGAAAGTGGGTTCATGCTATAATTTTACTTGAAAACATAGATTGCCATGTAACCCAGAGTGGGTCCATGCAGATGCTATTAGTGTGACTGAAAATCAGAGGTTGCCATTTAACCCAGAAAGAAGGTTCATGCAATTAGTTTGACTAAAAATTATAGGTCACCATTTAACCAAGAAAGTGGTTCATGCTATTAGTTCGACTGAACAAATGAGGTATCTTGATTGGGCTGGAATTCTAGCCACAATCTAGTTCAAAAAGCATGATAACCTCTGACCTATGGAGGATATGTCCAGGATATCATACCAGGTTTAAACTAAAGTTTCAACATTTATACTGCAAAATATTTACCAAGTCAGAATAAAAACGCACAACTGATTTGACTGGAAGTGTTTGCCACAAATAATACAACTGAAATATGATTTTTTGCATGATTGTAGACTGGACATTTACTGGCACAAAAAAGTCGGCATTTGTAGTAGGTGGTTCTGCATCTGCCAAGAGACGCAACTTTCCAAATAGTATAGTTTGCCACGAATTCAAAATAAATCTCCCAAACAATGATCAGTGATTAACAACAATTGTGCTTGTTTGTCTCCTGTACTAGGGCAAAGAACTTGTGATCCATGTAGTTGGCGAGACTGGTGCTGGTATATACTTACATATCATCTACATTACTTGAATAACAATCAACCTTCACCTTGGCTTTTTTACTGTCCTTGGCCTTGAGGTCATCATAATAGAACAAACCTAAAATACTGCCTTCTGCTGCAGCTATAAATAAAGAGAGAAATAGGCTTTAACGTCCAGTCAGTTTGAGACTAACACATGGTACAATTTTATTTCCATAAGCACTGTGCGGGAACAGGAGGACCCGTATAAAAACTACAAGATTAAGCAGGTGATCCTGTCCCTTGTCACGTATAAATGATGGATCGAAACCACACCACTTGAATCAATGATGACCTTATTATCAAAAGTGCATGTGTACCCTTCCCAGTTATATTTTAGCGAATAAAACTGGTTATTTGTGATTAAAGACTAACACACATGTTAAATGTTAAGACACTCTCCCACCACTCCTGTTAAAGGAGCCCTCGCAGTTAAATTTTAGCGAATATAACTGTTTATTTGTGATGAAAGACTAATCCACATTCGCCCTATTATATTTTAGTGAATAAAACTGGTTATTCGTGATGAAAGACTTATGCACATGTTAGACCCCACCCCCTCCCCCTAGCCACCACTTCTATGAAAGGAGTCCTCAAAGTTATAGTTTAGCGAATAAAAATGGTTTATTCATGATGACAGACTGATGCAAATGTTAAACCTCAATGCTTGGGATGTATAACTATCTGATGGTGTTTGATATTTTTACAAAAAAATAAAATCAGCTCCCAAATTATGTGAATTGTAAATTTTCAAACCATAAGACCAGCCAGAAAACTGAATGAGGTTAAATCTGCAGAGAGTGTATCAGTGAGAATTTACGATGCAAGATAGAGAGTGTGTCACTGGGGAAATGAAATGAAATGAAATAGGGTTTAACGTCCTACTGTTCTGCTCGAAACTAGGCTAATGAAGACTGGCATATGCCATACAGTGTGCTATGGGAGAAATTTTGCCTGGGCAAAAGCACTGTTGAGCACTGTGGCCTAATTTTATATCGAATTCCAACTGCCAAGGGGTATTTTACGTGCATGCGAATGTATACATAGGACCTCGGTATTTCGTACCATCCAAACAGCTAGACAGGTGTCCTTGTCAGGCCCTCGGTCCTGCGCCACTGACAAGGGGAAACCACCCTGGAAAATCCTGATGAACTTTCTCGGCCAATCCAGGGATCAAACACACGACCTCCAGGCTAGCGAGCCAGCGTCTTACCCCCGTAGTCACCGTAGCTCACGTGTCGATTATGCTTTATGATGCAAGGTAGAGAGCATATTGCCGAGAATTATGACTTACAGCGAGAGTTTCTCACTGAGAATTTACGCTGTAAAGTACACAGCGTCCAATCTGATTAAAACACAGATCCTATTTCGTTTTGTTTCTTAAAGTTCAAAATTTCATTTCACTTGTCTTTACTACACTATGATCTGGAAGACATGTTATATAACCTGTGTTTTTGCTGATGTAAGGGATTAGCCAATGAAACAGTCTGTTACAGCAAGTTCTTGGCATATGGTGCACGGAAATGTGGGTATTCGACTTGAAACGTCAACGCTGATTGGTTAATCAATTGGTTAATGAATTGTGTGACGGCATGGGGTCAAATACCTTTCATACAACCCCTGACGTGACCTTCCATTACAACCAGTATGTATTAGAAAAATAAATAAAGACGTTTAATGCATTTGTAGGTAAAAATTATATCATATTTAGTGTAAATGAGTATTAAAATGAGTAAAATGCAGCATTCTGCCCGAACCAGTAACGTCTTATGCAAACAATTCACGTGCCATCGAGCCAATAATTGACGCCGCGTGATGCGATGTCACGTGTTGAGGACAGTCATCTTTTACAGAGATATTAGAAGACTTCTGTAATCCTCTGTGAAACAGATTGGTACGACCCCTGACACGACCTTCGAGTACAACTGGTCAGATCTTCATGTAGTGTAGGCCATCGAAAGTATAAAAAAATGAAACGAAATATAGATCTGTATTTTAATCAAATTGCAGAGCGTCTCAATGAGAGTTTACAATGCGAGGTATTTTTAAAATAAACTATAACACATACTTATGGAAGAACAATTACTGATTTATTTGGGCGACGTTTCGAAGAGTATTCTCTCAACGTTTTCAAGCAAGTACAGTAACAAATGTGTAGAGCAATTATATATAGACAAGCAATAACAACAATTCAGAAACCATGCATGACAACAACAAGATCAAAGGATTAAAAAACAACATTTTTAAAATATTTCTCAAATATACCAAACAACCTATAACAATGTGTAAAAAGGTTTATCAAAATCAGTGTTATTTTGACCTTTGACCTACCTTTAGAATCTCCACATGGGTCAACAGTAACTTCTGTTTCGCCAACTTCACGCAACTGGGAAACACCATCTACAAAACATACATAGTCTGATAAACACACCCATCAAGGATTTTCAAATAATGGGGAGATTGTCAAAGTTTAAACAAATAAGACAATGAAAGTCTACAATTAAGAATTTTCAAACATTCAGAGATTGTTAAAGTCTAAAATTAAGAATTTGAAAATGTACAGGGATTGTCAAAGTCTAAAATTAAGAATTTTCAAACATACCGAGATTTTCAAAGTCTAAAATTAAGAATTTTCAAACATACCAAGATTTTCAAAGTCTAAAATTAAGAATTGGCAAACATACAGAGATTGTCAAAGTCTAAAATTAAGAATTTGCAAACATACAAAGCGTGTCAAAGTCTAATATTAGGACTGTAAAACTTTCAAAATTAAGAATATTGAAAAAAATGTAAAAACTTACTGGCTACTGCTGATCGAATGTTTTGTTTGCATTCATCTAATTCTTCAAGATCATTAAATTTAACACCTGTTTCTCCGAGATTAACAACAGCTACCGTGGTAAACTCATCATTCACCGGCACTCCATATAATACTCGACCTGAACCACTTTTTAACTTTCTACTTGCTCTGTTAATACAAATAAAATATTATGGAATAAAATCTAACATCTTGTTAATTCTGAAGAAGGTCTTTTTGAGTCACAGAGATGAACAATTGAGAGAGAGAGAGAGAGAGAGAGAGAGAGAGAGAGAGATGGGATTTAACATCCACTACAAACAAACTAGGTCATTTCGGGACTAACATATGGTTCAATTTTATTTCATTGGTTCGCTTGCGCATAGGGGTCTTTAGTAGTGGGAGAAAACCAGAGAACCCGGAGAAAACCCACGAGGTAGGACAGGCAACCCTACTCCTTGTCACCTACAACCGGGGAATCGAAACCATGCCAGTTGACTCAATGACAGACCTTATGATACTATGCGCATGTGCTAACCATTAGGCCATCTGACCCATCTTAAGGTAATAAGCATTTGTTTCTGTTGATCGGCACTGGCATAACTAGTGGTGTAAATGACATGGAATTTTAAGACACCATCCACGATAATGAAGACAGGCATACACCATACAGCGAGATATGATGGAACTTTATTAATGTGGTCTGAACAATGTCTCTTAGCTTTTATGTGCAGCTTAATTTCTGATCCCATCAGAACTGCTAAATGCTGTTCCCATCAGAACTGCTAAATGCTGTTACTTTCTGGGCCCTACATCCTGCACAACAGTGACAAGAGGAAACCATTATGCAATAAACACTTGATTCCGTTTGTAGGCAGTGACTTGGCCAATGGGAGAAATGATAGGTGTGAGGGAGAGAAATAAAAATGAAATGGAGTTGTAGCATTCACACACTGGCTCGCTAGCTTGGAAGTCGGGTGTTCGATCCCTGCATTGACCGAGAAGGTTCATTCAGATTTTCCAGCGTGGTTTCTCCTTGTCAGTGATGCAGGATGGAGGGCCTGACAAGGACAGCTGTCTAGTTGTTCGGATGGGACGAAAAACCGAGGTCCCGTGTGCACATTGGAGTGCACGTAAAAGATTCCTTCGGTGGGAATTCGATATAAGAGTAGGCTGTAACGCCGCTGCCCGGGCAAAATTTCCTTCATAGCACACTGTATGGCGTATGCCCGTCTTAATTAGCCCAGTCAGGGCAGAATACTAGGACGTTAAACTCCATTTCGATTTACTTCATTTTCTCTGATGTGTATTAAAAAGCCTTTAGAGGAATTTAGTAACTGGTTAGAGCAATAAACAATAACATCCTCTGTTTATTCAGTTAGTTTTCATTAGGATTTGTTATCTTACATTTTTAAAAGTTGTTGAAGTTTTCCCTGACTTTTCTGATCTAAGTCAGATGCTGCTGGTGTTAGTGTAATATTATCATCTTTCTCTTTCTTGTAAATACCAACTACTACTCCTTTATTCTAAAATAAAAGATAGAGATTGAAAAATAGGGTTTAATGTACACTCAACACAAACTAGGTTCTTTTGAGACTAACATCGTTCAATTAAATTTTCCTTAATTAGCAGATAGGACCCTACTACTCCTTGTCACGTACATTTTAGGAAACAGAACCACACCAGGTGACAGACCTTATGATCTAAAGCGCATGTTGGACTATCTGGCTTATTCTAAAACAACAGAAAGAGATAGAGAAATGGCGTTCAACCTCCACTCAACAAAAAACTATAGTATGTAAATTTTGGACTAAACTATAGTTGAGGTTCAACTACGGTGGTTAAGACATTGGCTCGATAACCAGGAGGTCGGGTGTTCGATCCCTGCGTTAGCCAAGAAAGTTCATCCAGATTTTCAGGCGTGTTTCCTTGTCAGTGGTGCAGGACTGAGGGCCAGGCAAGGGACAATGTATAGTCGTTTGGATGAGACGAAAAACCGAGGTCCTGTGTACACATTAAAAATATAAATTATTAATTTATCCTGTGATTTTCTTGATAAATATTGAACTGGTCACTATACGAATTATATCGCAGCACCTTAATCGCTATACGTATTATATCATGACTGCTGTGGAAATACCCAGCACTAGTGTGCACATTGGCGTGGACCTAAAAGAACCCTTAAAGCGGAAATTTCAAATTTTTAAGTTATATTTTTAAAATTTATTAAAATAAAGCCGGAAAACAGATGGTATTCATAAACAGTCCTACCTTGTTAAAGAATAATCCTATTAATCCTATAATTCACTATTGCCAGCTGAGAAATTGACAAAAATATCATTTTCCTCTTCATTTTCAAACGTTTGAAAAAAGCTACTCCATGGTGGAGAATAGGGAGGTAATTGGGAGGTAATTGTGTTATTATTTCCTGTGTAAATGAGTTTTAAGTGTGAGAATGACACTTATGATCGTATAATTGTGAGTTGACAATCTATTGAGCAAAAGACATAGAAATAATTACGTTTTGACTTTCTTAGAAAATTTGCAATTTCCGCTTTAACATAAGAATAGGGTGTGGTGCCGCTCTCCTCACCAAATTTCCCTCATAGCACACTGTATAGTGCAAGCGTGTCTTCACTAACTCAGTCAGTACAGAAAAGGAGGATGTTTAACCATATCATTTCTTTTCCTTTTCAAAACATCGCTCCCTCCCAGTTTTGTCTGAGAAATTTGATTTGGATTTTCCTGCATGCTCTCCCGTTGTCATCAGTGGTGCACGACTGAGGGCCTGGCAAGGAACAATATATATAGTTGTTCAGATGGGATGAAAAACCGAGGTCCTGGGTACACAATGACATGCACGTAAAAGATCTCTTGGCAGTTGGAATTCGATATAAGAGTAGGCTGTAGTGCCGCTGTCTGGGAAAATTTCACTAATAGCACACTGTATGTTGTATGCCCGTCTTCTTTAGCCTAGTCGGAGCAGAAAAGTAGGACGTTAAACCCAATGGGTTAGTGAAGACAGGGTTGTACTATGTACGATTTTCTGCAAGCATTTCTGTACCAATTGTGGGGGGTTGGATGGCCGAATGGTTAGCAAGTGCGCGCTGTATCATAGGACCTGTAATTGAGTCAACTGGCGTGGTTTCGAATCCCCGGTTGTACGTGACAAGGAATAGGGGCGTCTGTCCAACCCCGAGGGTTTTCTCCGGGTCCTCCGGTTTCCTCCCACTGCTAAAGACCCCTACGCGCAAGCTAATTATTGAAATAAAATTAAACCATATGTTAGTCTCTCTGTACCAATTGAATCCTATACCAACACACAGGATACCTGGTCAACCCACAAAAAAAAATTCACAGTCACGGCGCTATTGGACTTTTTCACCTCTACTGGTTCCTGCGGTTGTAGAGAATATCATCTAGTCACCCGTAACACCAAGTCGCTACGAATATGTTAACTGGGCGCTTTACTGCGGGAAGTATAGGTACTGGTAGTAGCAAAAGTGTAATACAGAGTGAAGCTCTAAAGCATTGCACCAAGCGCCATGCTGGAGCAAACTTCTTTTGTAGTAACACAGACTGTTGGTTGAAAAAAGATTACGTGTCTTAACCAAATCAATCAATTAATGACATCACATAATGACAACAGATTCCATAATGAAAATAATGCTCACATTTGGGATTTTATTTTTTTTTTTTAATAAAATAAATCAGTAATCAATCAAATGCCCCTTATACAATTTAAATTAAAATCAATTTGGAATTTCAAATGACAAATGAAACGAAATGATTTATTAACCTTTCTTGCATCACTTGATGAATTTAATTATATTATGGAAGTTTTTTATTTGACAACAGGCATCAGCTTTTAATCGCTCTACTCAGGCAATGCCTGTTACATATTATTGGGAGCTAACTAAGCCACATGTCATCCCTGTCAGTGACTGTAGCGGTCTAGCGAATATATTCACTGATGATCAGCAAAAGGATAGCGCGTCACATCGGTTGATTTTACTTATTATACTGTTATAAATCAAAAAGTGGCACACGTATCAACTTACAAAGATGGTGAGACGACACTTACTTGAATTGATGTTGTTCTCAGCTCCCGTTGATTTATTCTAATTAGGGACGTTAATCTAGTAAACAATAGATTATTTCTTTTCAACATTTTCACTTTGCTCATGGACGCAGCCATGACAGTTTAGTCTCGTTTGTCAAAAGAGTAAAAACCGTTTGCCGAAATGAACACGGAAACATTATACAAATTAAGAGTTATTTCCCTTGGATCTGTCTTTTATTATTATCACAATCAAATAAACTCCCGATTGATTTCTGTGAACATTATTCAACACGTCACAATCTTGAAAAAATGAAATGAAATGGGGTTTAACGTCTCACTGTTCTGCTCCGGCCTGGGCTAATGGAGACGGGCATACACCATACAGTGTGCTATGAGGGAAATTTTGCCCGGACAGCGGCACTACGCGGCCTACTCTTATATCGAATTCCAACTGTCAAGGGATCTTTAACGTGCACGCGAATGTGTACACACACGGGAGCTCGGTTTTTGGTACAACCCGAACGACTAGACACAGCTGTACTCGTCAGGCCCTCCGTCACTGACAAGGGGCAATCTGTTTCACAGAGGATAACGGCAGAGGATTACGAAAGTCTTCTAATATCTCTGTAAAAGATGACTACCTTCAACACGTGACATCTCATCACGCGGCGTCAATCATTCAATGGCGCGTGCATTGTTTACATAAGACCTCACTGGTTCGGGCGGAATGGAGCCTTTTACCCATTTTAATACACATTTACACTAAATAGGAAATAATTTTTACCTACCAATATGTCAAACGTCTTTATTTATTTTTCTAATACTTAAAAAAATGTTTTAGAATTTAATTTGTTGGAGGAAAAAAGTTAATATTTGTGGCTCATTAAGTCGCATCGATGTCATCCTTATCGAATCAGTGATCAGTGTGAAAACCTGGATGAACTTTCTCGGCCAATATAGGGACCGAACACCCGACCTCCAAGCACAATCTTGATAAAAAAATATAGTTATTCAGTAGGTTTTTTATTTCCAATTGTCCGAATCAAGTCTATAAAAAAAAAACCTTTCACTGCACCCCTCACCCCCGGCGAGTAAATTGCCAATAATATTCAGCCTTTTTCAAATGGCTCTCAGGCTACGGCTTTACTGCCAAACCACACCAAACTCTCTCTGGCATCATAATGTCGCATTTTAGGACAAGGCGTATAAGGGTCAAACATTTCCATAATCTGATTAAAACACAGATCCTATTTCATTTCGTTTTTTATAGTTCAAAATTTCGTTTTACTTGTCTTTACTACACTATGATCCTGGAAGAGTTGTTATATTAACGACGTTTTGGTTGAAGTGAGTTTATACCACAACTTCTTGGCGTGCCATGCACGTTACTGTGGGTAAACTGCTAGAAACGTCAAGGCTGATTTATTAATCTATGTCTGCTGTAATAGGGTCAAAAGCCACTCGTACGACCCCACACTGATCAACAGTCAATATTCGCTAGGCCGCTACAATCACTGATAAGGATGTCATCGATGAGACGTAATGAGCCCCAATATTAACTTTTTGCCTCCGACAAATTAAATTCTAAAACATTTTTTTTATATTATTATTATATTACAAAAATTTCTTATAGCCCCTTTTCACATACACGTGTTCAAAGGTGCTTTACAATGGTACAGATATAAAAATGATTAAATCATGAAAATTAACAATAAAATACTAAGACAACACATGAATCAGTATAAATTGGAAGATATATACATTTAAAAAGCTTGAAGAAATAAATGGGTTTTAAGTTTTTTCTTAAAAGTATTGACATTATAAGTTATCATACGGTAACTTATTTCATAAAGCTGGCGCTTTAACACTAAAAGATCTTTGACTAAAAGTTAACAGTTTTGAATATTTGGGCTTTAAAAGAAAATTATCACCCGAAGAGTGTAAACATCGCCCTGGTGTATAGAGATTTAAAAGATCAGATAAATAAACAGGTGCTAATTTGTTCAAACATTTAAAAGTTAACAATAAAATTTTAAAATAAATTCTATAAGAAATAGGTAACCGGTGTAATTTTTTTAAAAAATTGGGGTAATATGATCATTTATGTATTAGAAAAATAAATAAAGACGTTTGCCGTATTTGTAGGTAAAAAATTATATCCTATTTAGTGTAAATGAGTATCAAAATGAGTAAAAGGCACCGTTCTACCCGAACCAGTAAACAATGCACGCGTCATTGAGTCTAATGATTGACGCCGCGTGATGCGAAGTCACGTGTTGAGGACAGTCATCTTTTACAGAGATTTTAGACGACTTGTGTCATCCTCTATGAAACAGGTTGGTACGACCCCTAACACGACCCTCGAGTTCAACTTCTCAGATCTCAATGTAGTGTAGGCCATCGAAAGTATATGAAAAATAACCCAAAACGAAATATAGATCTGTATTTTAATCTGGATTAAACAATAACAGGGTTTTTTTCTGAGAATCGATGGCAGGTTTATTTATTTTACCCGTGTAATTACAAAAGAACAATTCTATTGATGTCGGAAATTGTCTAGTCGTTCGGATGGTACAAAAACGAGGTATGGCGAAGGGCCGGTGCACGTAAAAGATCTCTTGACAGTTGGGCAGGCCGTATGGCCGCTCTCCGTGCAAAATTTCCCTTATAGCCCTTCATTATTAGCCCGGTCGACGCAGAGAAGCAGGTCGTTAAACCCAATTCTATTCCCTTTCAACAACACTTGGCGTGTGTACCAATTAGTATTTATCTTTCGAGAACCAGAGAATAATATATTATATATGTATTATAAAACTACTGATAGAATAAACATCATAACCCTGTATAGCTTATAATTAATTGTTTGAACATATTGGGAATGACATTTTTTAATCCAAACTTCCTCGAAGCAATTCTATAATATTTAAAAATCAACATGTAATTGAAAATTATCGAGAAACTAGAAAAATGTATAGAAATTCGATTTATAGAAATTTGTTGACTTAAGTCAAATGCAAACAGAATAATTCTGATTAGTCTGAACCTCATTATGAGTATATTTATTGTTGATGCTGTTGTTAGAGATATAAAGGCTCCACACTGCAAAAAATATCCATTTTTTATGTGGCCGAACTCCTTAGTTTAACTCTCTTTTCTGTTCATTGATGGAGTTTTTTTTTAGAAATGTGTTTGAAGTGTAAATTATTCCTTCAAAGTATGTGTTAAATGTATTTGGAAATTTCCTTGAAATTTAGAGATAAAATGTTTTATTTAATTCTTTAAAGGACTTAATGCTGTTATTTTACGGCTAAACGGTGTAATGACCCGGAATTTTCAGATTATTTCTGTTTGCAAATACAACGATAAGTAATCGTATACATATATAATCATTCCTAATAATTATCATGTTATAGTATTCACTTCAATTTATTAACCATAATATGAAGAATCACACTTTGTAAATTTTGGTATATTACATGTTATGTATATCTAATTTCCATTATTTATAAGATCTATAAAATATATAGTTATTCATCATACGTTAATCAGATTTTAATATATATTCATAAATGTATAAAAGTATGTTTTATCATTCCAGCGCGCGCGTGCTAACCATTCGGCCATCCACCCCCTCATCTTTCAAGAGTTATAAGAAGGCTTTCACAATACCTCTGTGAAACAGGTTGGCACATAACATTTTAGAACCCATTGTCTCAAATTCACTTCAATTCCAGAACCTTTAACTCAATTACTCGGTAAACGGGTAACATTATGCGAGAGGATCGTCCTATTCATTACTCAGTAAACGGGTAACATTATGGGAGAGGATTGTCTTCCGGACCCACCGTCATTTAAAGTTATACGTAATGTAGTTGAAGATGCTAGTGACTTTGGCGCAAGTGATGTTTTGATACAAGATGGGGTAAATCACTCTATTTTTCAAGAAAGTTTGATAAAGTTATTCCATTATTGACAAAATATGTTTACTTTTGGTTTTGGAAATTTATGTTTTACGGTCACTTCGATCGCATTAAGCAGAAAAGTAGGTCACTCAACCCCATTATATTCAATCATTGATTGCCTTGGGAATACGTTGAAGCCATGGTGTATAAATAACATCCAACAACTATTTATCACAGATGAATTATGTATGATTTAGAATAAAAGATTTGTGGTTTTTGCTATAACAGTTCAAAAATAAGTGATGAAAAATCAATCTATTATTGAAAATTCCATTCAAATTACTTGTTGCTAAACGATGTTGTCAGGCTTTGAAGCGCTCATATTATTGTTTCGATAAACAAAATCTCCACTATCTATTTTTAGATTACATGTATATTGTTAAAGATACTTTCCCTGAAAAAGTATTTATCGGGTGGTCCTTTCCAATAAAAGTATGTCAAATTTGGTATATATGAAAAGTATAGACACCCAAACTTAATAGAAAAATACTGGATTACCCGAAACACGCCCATGGGGCAAGCACTTGGCAAAATTGTCAGAGTATCAATAACTTTTTGCCAGCTTATTGTGTGCCAGTTTAAGTGAGGGAGCGGTTGTTTTTTCTTGATCAAATGGTTAGAGGGTTTTGGGAACACTGAGCGGTGTCAACGTACAAAAGACTCTGCAAATAAACGGCAGAAAAAGAAGTTGACATAAATAATCAAGAATTCAGTTATTCCTCAATATGTATGGTAAATGTTTACAGTAAGTAATGATAAATACATTCTAAAAAATGGACCCTCCCACAATGAAGCTAAGTTGACAGACATTGCGTCGAACTCTGTTTGACTTAATATTTGGTCCAAAAACTGGTTATGATTTTAAGCGGAAAAGTAGGTATCGAATTACGTTTGACCGTACCTTTATTTTTATTGGCGGATGGTGTCACTTGGCGGGAGATGTTTGGGCGAATGTTGGGTCTGTGGAATATGACAATTGGACCCGTATCGGGTGAGTGAAACGATTTTTTCTAGAATTTTAAAAAAATCAAATATTTTCCATTTCTTTACGTATGAATATTCCAACATAATTTTACCATTCTATTCATACAAAATTAAAAACCGAATTGTCATGAACGTAATCATGCGTTAAAATTGAGAATTAAGAAAAAATACATCAAATAACGCTAAATGGCGATAAACCGGAAGTTGAATA